TGTGCAAAATTTGTCCTTGACATGGCACCTTGTATGGAAAATGTTGTTTCTTTGTAAATCCTCTTGAGATATTTGTGATTGTAGGCACCTTTTTAAAACAAGAATTTCTCCATGGTCTGTATTTTCTTTTGAGTCTTCGTCATGGTTTGCTTCAGGTTCCTCATCATAGATAAGTTCTTCAGAATCTAAGACAACATCTCTATTATCACGTACTATCATAGCATTTCGGTTGGGACATTGACTAGCCACATGTCCTTTTCCAAAACACTTAAAGCATTTGATGTCTCTGGACCTCTCAAAAGACTTAGTTTGTTTTTCTTTTCCCTTGTTGGATTCACCCACTTATATAGTTTTGGTTACCTCTACACTATCCTTTTCTTGGATTGGAGTTGGCTTTTGGAAAGTATTAGGCTCTTGTTTCCATTTGGTGGCTGAATTTGGACTACCCCGGTTGAATGCTTTCCTTTTAATTCGTCGTTCAATTTTCATGGCCATATGTATCATCTCCTCAATCTCTACATAATGCTGTAGTTCAACAAGGTTAGCAATGTTAGGAATTAAGCTAGATAAAAACCTTGGCATGGTTGCTTCTCTGTCTTCATCAACATTGGCTCGAATCATAGCTATCTCCATCTCCTTAAAATAATCTTCAACGCTTCTGCTTCTTTGTTTAAGATTTTGTAGCTTATGATAAAGGTCTCGGTGATAGTCAGTATGCATGAACCTTTTCCTCTTAATGGCCTTCATTTCTTCCCACATAGTAATGGGGCATTCACCATTTCATATTCTTGAACTCACCAATTGATCCCACCAAACTAGGGCATAGTCCATGAATTCCATAGCAGCAAGTCCATGAACGTCTCTTCTTGCTTCTGATGTTACTTTAGCCTCTTCTTCCTCAAATTCTTCTTCCTTTCTAGGGCGATTTATTCTCCGGTTGCCCAAAGATGCCTCAAATTGATCTATACGTTCATGCAAAGGCTCCAATTATAATTTCAGCAATCTTGCCATTTCATGCATTATTGCTTGAGTTTGTAAGTTAGGGGCTTCTCTTTCAGGGGTTCGTCTTGGACTCCGAGAATGGTTAGTGAAATAAGAAAAGAAAAAGATTTGTAAAAGACCTTACCAGTTAATACTCTCACAAAGCCTCGCGAGTCACTCTAAGAAAACTTGAATGTCACTCAATCCGCTCGTGTTTGCACTCTAGCACTTTTAAGGCTTTTACTAGTCCTCTTCTGATCTCACACGCTCGAGCCTCTTCCTCTCAATTCTCTTTATCTCATATTCTAAATAACTTTACTCAAAACCATATTTTACTTGTTCGGGTCGGCTGCAAAAGGATTATAGGAATGGAAAGCAAAATATAATGAAAATGGTGGATTAGAAATAGAAATAAGAGAATAAAAGGGTTACTTACACAAAGTAACTTCACAACCTTCTATCACCACAATCAATTTAAAGGCTTACTTCAATGGCTTGGTGATGAGACTTGTTGATGAGTGCTTCAACTTTTCTTTCTATTCTTTTCTTTTCTTCTTCTTTTTGAGTGCTTCAATTTCTTTGTTGGATTTTGATTTCTTAACTTGCACTTCCTTTTGTATTTTTGTTTTTGTCGTTGTTGCACGTTTGCTTCTTCCACCATAGCTCTAATTACAACTTGATGCAGGGTACTTCTACCTTGTTGATTGATTGTGGATCTAGAAAAGAAGCAAAACAACATACATAAGTGAATGGCTTAAATAGATGGTTTGGTGGTAGAAGTCGAGGTGAAATGGTAGGCTATTTATGATATGCGTAATGGTAGCGGAAGATTGTTTTTATGGCTATGGTTTGGTTGATGAAACAATGGAATGGTTATGAGGATATAACAAAGAAAAAATGTTTATAGGAACCAATGTTAAAGAACAAAGACCCATACTTTATATTGCTTCTTTAAGGGGTGGTAATAAGGACTTAGACCCACTTTCTATATAGAGGTAGGAACCACAAGTATCAAGGGGAAATGGGTTGACGCCACAAGTAATGAATTACTTGATAAGTTGATAAAAGTCACAAGGACTTAAGCAAAGAGAAATATCTCACTTTAATTTACATATCTTTAATGCTAAAAGAGATGATGGTTCAGTCCTAAATGAAGGGTAAGAATCCTTGTCTGAATGGTCCCCTTTGCTATTCATCTTGGTGCCAAATTGAAGAGGAGGGAGTGCTTCACCGAATGGTGATGTATCTTTTCCTCTTGGCACCTAAAAGAGACCACATGCAAGTCACATGGTTCATGGTCATATGGCACACATATGGGTGTTCTAGGGAACCTTTTGGTTCAGCCTTGTACATAGGATGAAGGCTGGTCATGTGCATCATCTTGGGCGTGCATGGGTCTTCCTCCAAGCTTGCTTGAGTGGATAGCTATCTAGCAAGTAAGGGGTTGGTTGTGAATGAGCTTCATAGATGAGACATTCCAACCTTCATAGCATCTCATTCAACTACATTTTTGATGTCGCCTTTAGCAACTTAGCTTCAAATAGTCCAACTAACTGAGATTAGCTGGCCATGAGCCCTCCAGCTGAGTTGAGCTTTCCTTAGTGTTCTATGAGCTGCCTCATTATTTGTGAGCTATTTGTGAGCTGCATATGACGTCCGAATAATCCACCTAGCTACCCCAACGTATTTCATGCTCCAATGTACCTACATGTGCAAGGAAACAAGGTAATTCAATGGCATTGAGCTTATATGAGCTAAATACATTGTTGTCGTGCATGATTATAGTATTGTGTGCTATGATTGCATGTCATGAGCTAAATATATCATCATATAATATGTGTGAGCTAATGTATTAGGCCTAAGAGCTAAATGAATGCATATGAGCTAATTAAATGAACGATAAGTGTGCTGCCGTTATATAAATGTAATAAATCATGCTTAATATGAATGCAAGACTATTCTAATCATGCTTAACATAATTAAATACAATGTGCATCTACTGTGACGATGTGTTCATGCTAAGTTATTTATGAACTACAAAACTAATAACCTTAAAATTAGATGTATTATAGTAGCATATATCATTTAACTAGTATAAAGTAAATACAACATAAAAAATGTTCAAGAGTACTTCCTTTGTAAGTGAAAACGTGCTTGCATCAGTTATCATTTACAAGAATTTTTACTAGGTTGAGCTTGAACTTAAGTATTTTTAGGAGCATGTTAGGATAATTTGTAAATATTTTATATCATTTGCATCTTGGGACTAAGTTGGCTTAATTTTATTTTGTAATTGGGTAAGATGATGTTGGTAGCATTTATTAAAGCTACATGTGATGTTGGGTTGCAATTATAAGTTGGATTGTTGACTGAATTTACAGTATCTGGTGGCTCATCGTGTGAAGAATGGAGAACCTTCTAGAAGGTATAATAGGTCATTTTCAGCTGTCATAGGCTCTAGAATCAATTGAATTATGGAGAAAGATTATTGGTTGAGGGTCCACTCCATCAGCATTTAAATAGGAGTGATCTTTTCACCATTAGGATCAATTTTCTTTATCTCCTAGATTTTCTCCACTTATCTTAACCACGATGGTAGCCTAGTCCATTCGTCAGGGAGTGCAGCAGTAACATCAGAGTAACCGTGTAGCAGTAGTGGCTGATTGGGATTCAACTTTAATTTCATTTTTCAAACTTGAGAAAAGGAAGTCATTTTTGTCATGTTGAATGTTTATTTTACTATTTTTTTGTGTGTTGAACATAAAGTGTTTGACTAATTGCTTGGAAGATGGTTTCTTTATCTAAAGTATATATTTATGAGTTATTATTTTTAATTGATGTTTGTTAGAGATAATAGTATCTTATTCATGTTGTTTTGATTATTCTAGAGATGAAGTAGTTTGATATGGCAAGTTAGCTATGTCACAACATAGTTGATTACGAGAGTAACAAATTCTTATAGAGATATATGATGCATATGTTATGTTTTGTTAATTATGAACTCATGAAGTTTTGAATGAGAGTTAGAAATTAATTGGTTTTGAATTAGTCATTGCATAAATATTAATATATAGTGCCCCAAAAGCACGAGTCTGCTAGCAGTCCATTATTACATCATCTTAGGTCCTTCAGTCTATATGATTCCTTATTTTCCATAACATTCTCATGCTCTATTAGTGTTGATATTTTTTCACTTTTATATTAATCATCAAATTCCAAATTTTGTTTACAACTAAAATCTACTGTAATCAATTTGCTCCATGTGGGATTCGACATCTATAACAATTTTGTTACCACTTGATTACTTGTTTGATAGTGTATGCTTGCACTTTGCTGTAGCATTTACAGAGAACTATGTTTTTGGCACCATTATTGGGGAGCATCAGTTTTCCTTTAGAGTTCCATTATTGTTTACTTATTTGTTTATTTCCTTCTGTAGATAATCATTTCTTATAGTTTCAGTGTTTTATTCCTGAAGTAACGATGAATAGAGCTAATCAATCTGGAGATATAATGAACCTTTAGAAGATACCACAAGAAATCAAGCATTTATGGCTAGACAAGAGAACAATGCTTTGCCTTCACTACAACATTGAAATAAAGATCACTTGTCGAGTGGCAATGGAGTTGTGCCGCAACAGTTCTACAATGTGGATGATTCTAACCACCCAATTTGAGAACATGTGGTGCCAACACTCGATGATTTATATACGACTAGTAATTCATGCTACGAATTTCGAATTGAAGCTAGTCATATTTCAAATGTTGTAGTTCATGGGACAATACGGTGGATCCTTTACTAAAGATCCTTAAGCAATTTACGAGCATTTCTGGAAGTTTGTGATTCATTTTTTCAACAAGGTGTCCCTGAAGAAACATTAAAGTTGAAGTTGTTCCTTTATTCGTTGTGAGACAAAGATAAAGCTTGGTTGACATCATTACCACCTGGTGAAGTAGCATCCTGGAACGAGTTGAAACAAAAGTTTTTTCTCTGATTCAACCTACCTAACATGAATTCCAAACTTCGAAAAGACCTCACTTCCTTTAAACAATTGAAAGAAGAAATCTTGCATGAGGAATGGGAAAGATTCAAGGATTTTATGTGAAAATGTCTGAAGCGTGGATTCTCATATTGGACGTAAATGGAAATGTTCTATAATGGATTAAACATATACAATCGTATGGTAGTGGACGCTTAAGCAAATGGAGTTTTGTTGTAAAAGACATATAATGAAGATTATGGTATTCTAGAAAGAATATCGAACAATGATTATCAATACCCCAATAGGAGGAACATATTTGATTGACGCAATGCTGGAGTAGATTTTGATGCCTTCAACTCTATGGCTTCTCAAATTTTAGCATTTATGGTTATGGTGGAGAAACCAGGGGGAATTTATGAGGTTAAATCTACATATACTCTTTCTTGTGCTTATTATGGAGATAATTACAACTTTGACAAATGCCCTCAAAATCCTGAGTCTATATTTTATGTGAGAAATAACCACATAAATGATAACTTATTTGGAAAAACCTACAATGCCAACTCTTAGAACTATCCTAATCTTTCTTAGAGAAGCTAGAATGTTGTCAATCCACCACAACAACATTATTAGCAACCACAGTAACACAATCAACCTGCGATGCCACACCATTAGTTACAACATAAGACTACACATCCACAACAGAGTCAAAATTATCAAGGGCAATCTTTAACACGAGCTTCTAATTTTTCATCTCTTGAAGTTTTAATGAAATAGTACTTTGCGATTTAATCAATATCATTAAGATCTTTATAAAATCAAGTTGGCCAATTGGTGAATTATCTTAACAACTAGCTGCAAGGAACGCTACCCAGTAATACTGAGAATCGAAAGCCAAAGGAACACTTAACCTGTATACTAACTATATTAATTGTTTGCAAATATTTCTTATTCGTATACATGCCAGCTATAATCTTTAGAACACCATAGGATGTCATCAATGTTACCTTAAAATATTCCTTTGTGATTAATGCCAATTCAGCTGCTTACTCCTCTCACTTTCTTTTATCTACACGTAAAAATCATTACACGCTAAGTATACACTTAATGAGGCAATCATAGAAACATTCAAGGCAATGCAACACATAAATGTAAACAAAAATAATATTCAACGCATGATGATTACTTTACCTATATTCCAACCATGTTACTATATACGAGCATGATATAAACCGAATATAACTTTTCTTACCAATATACTTTCCATGTATTCCATAATCTCATAATATTATTCACTTGTTTATCATTTATTAACCCATAAACCATATCCTAAATATATACCTATATGGACCCTGAGTACTGAGTAAAATATGCATCGAAGTGCTTGTATATACGGTTGTGCCCACCTCTTGCACTATGTTTACACTATAGTACTGATTCAGATATGACACATAAGGTTGTACCCACCACCTACACTAAGTCTACACTCTAGTGTTGATATGGATATTAAACATAAGGTCGTGCCCACCACATGCACTTAGTATCCTTACACACTATAGTGTTGAATCAGAACATGCAGTTGTTGGATTATATGGCATGCCAACTATACCCTGTCCCTCAATGAATTACTTGGGTATATAGTCTATTTTTATTCCACCCATGGCAATGTATATCAATATAATTTAACATTTGGGTGGTTCATACCCGAAATAACATTTGTAATAAACATCATATATATTAATGATAAACATCATATATAATAACCGATCAATGCATTTTATATTCATCCTTTAACATATTTAGAATATGTCAAATGTATGATAAATGACATAAATATCATGCCAATATAAACAAGGTAGACTTATCACAAGTCCTACCCGATGATGTATAAAATATCCATGTATAATGTTATGTAGATAAATGACATAAATATCATGACATTTTTGTGAAAGTTGTGATCAAATCCTTACTGTTATAATTAATTCTGTTAAAGTTGATGGAATTGTTATACTTGAAAAATTTACTATAGAACTTGTTGAATATCCTCACTATATCAACTACTTGTTAGCTTTGAATGAAGTGAATACTCGAAGTGATATGTTTGTTGTTAAACATTTACTGGACATTATTTCTTAAAGAAACAGGGGAAAACTTTATCAAGGTCTTGCTATTATGCGAATCCATTAAAGGGTATTGAAAACTTCGGATGGATTTAGTATTTGATTGAAATACAAAATAGGTTAGCACTGAGCAAAGATGATGTTAAGCATGACACAAGTGTAACAAGTGATTTGATTTTTGACAAATTACAACTAAATCAAACTGAATGTTCACGCAACTTCAAGAATTTTCCATGTTGTTTGTGTATTTGCTATTAAGAAATGTCTAAGATCTATAGGGATACAAATTTTTCCAATACTGATGTTAGAAATAATTGATGACAGATACAAACTGTATCATTTTTTAGCACGATGGAAATTAATTATAAATGAAGTTTTGAAGCCTCCAGTGTTGGTTCAATGGGAGGATCTATGTAATGAAACAACTACTTGGATGACTATGGAAGAGTTTTGAAAAATAATTTCTACTTGGGACCTTGTGGACAAGATCTTATTTGGTGATGATAGTGATGTTATGCATCAAAAAATCAATTTTCATAGGAGAAATCGTGAGAACATTAGTGATGAGTGTTTTATTTGGTTAATAATTTGTTATTAATTAATACATTTTACCTCATGTAACACATATATGTCTCAAAATACAAGTTAAAGATGTTACATCAACATTACAAACATTCATCGATCATAGACGATTAAAATTTTGTTTCATTTTAATTATCGAAATTAAAACTACTTCATTAATCATGTGAAATCATAAAATAATATTTGAACATTCAAAATGAATCCAACTTTAGGCAACAATTAGGAAATTTAGTGTTGTTTTATAAATGTTTTAAAACTTCCTAAACACTGCTTAATTAGGAACATGCATATATAATATATATGTCACTAATAAGTCAAAGATAAGAAGTCTTACTGATACTGATATTATGTATGATTTTCAAAAAAGATGCTCAAGAGGCTCCTCACTTCATGTTTCTTTCTCTATTTGAACCTACGCATGAAAATCATCACGCACTAGTAAAAACTTAGTGATACAGAAGCATAGCTAAACTGAGATAAAACACAAATTTCATAAAATATTAAAAACATAAATCTTTAATTTAAATAAAAACATTAAAACTTTCAAGTCGAGCATTTCATGTTATTTTCCTCTTGAAACCTAAAAATAATCATCTCATGATTTTATAAAAAATCATGTAAATCAACATTAAATATAACAAACATTTCATGTTCTTTTCATTCATACAAATTTTAGAACTTTCATTTCATTTTCATATTCTTTTCTTTCATATGCTTGTCATAACATTCACATTTACTTTTATAGCCCAATATTTATGTAAGAGAATGCAAGGTATTTGAGTTAAATGAGTGTGTTCTATAAGCATTTCATGGTGCTAAAATCGTAAACAAAATATGCACTCCAAGTGCATTCATATTATTTGGACCAACGGTGCTACACATAATGTACACAAATGTCCTAGATCATAGTCAGAATCACTACTCCTCATGGCATGCCAATTGTACCTACGACTCTTAATGCAACATACAATGGGCTTTCAGATCATATCTTATTCATTTAATAATCACCGTTTCATAATTTGGAATCATTTAAAATTCATTATCATAAAATCATACTTTGAAAGTCCATGCCCTTAACCATCCATAAAACTTTACGAAACATTATGGAAATAATCCATTTTTAAAATTAAAAAAAAACTTTAAAATAATACGAGGTTGACTTATTGCAATTCGTTCTTTATCATAATAATGAAATAAAAAAATAAACTGTAGTCACTTTGACACTTCATTTATAAGTAAAAATATAAGCCTCACTAAGATTTAGATTTATTTCTTTTCTTTCAATTGCTCCAACTACATAATTTATCAAAATTTCATACTCTAGTAGTTTGCACTACCTTCTAAGAAATATTATTTTGTATTAATCTACTTACTTTAAAACTTTTCCGTTCATGCCACTGGAAACTAGAGTCTATTACCAATCTAACAATATAAGGCACCAACTCATACAATTTATAGCAAATTTTCAATATTGACTTACAAAAACTGTTTTGAGTAGAATTTGCTGCCCTATTTTCTGACCTATCCTCAATTAAAATTTCATATCTTTTTGTGTGCTCCTAAAAATCAGTATCCGTTTGATCTAAATAAAACTAAATTGGTATCGGTATTGAGATCATCATCTAATTACTTCTGTATAATTTATAGTGATTTTCTAAACTTACAATTCAAGCCATAATTTCTAAGCAACTTTCCCTAATTAGAATCCTTAGCTTATTCAATAATTCTATTAGCTTACCAAATGAACATATATGCATGAATCACAAACCACATAATATCTAAGAATCACTTCTTATCATAGCAACTCTGTCACTGGCTCATCGTAATCCAATGTTCGATCGATAACATAAGTACAAATTAAATATGCAGTCACATTTGCCTCACTATCGAATATTCTTTACAATAATTTTCACAATCCCGCACTTTTTTACCTTCTCATTTGAGTTACTTGGGTCACTAGATTTCTTGTGCTCTAATGATGTCATATAATAACATAAAATATCAAACAATATGTTAGTATCGAACTAACATAATCTAAACTTAAATATATAAAATTCAATAAAAATAAAATTGATTCTGAAATCGATATAAAACTAAATCATATTTTCCATCAAAATTTCAACCTTCCTTAAATATTTATTCGATTCCATGAATATTTATTTTGATCGTTCATCCTTCAACTTCTGCCAAATCACAATCTAAACTTTTCAATTTGATTTATAATGGCCCTTCACCATTACGGTCATTTTCACATAATTTACTAAAACTTCCAAAATTACAATATTAAAATTCAACATAGAACGCCCCAAATATCATATTCATGTAATAACGTCCTACAATTCTTAAAACTTGTAAGTTATCCCTTTTTCTAATTCAAACTTCCAAATTGATCTAAATTGATATCCAAATCAAATAGAACACTTCTAAAATCAATTCTAAAC